CTAACTTATAATAATTTAACCACTGACTTTAAAAGAAAAAGAACTTTATCCAGATGGCCCCAGTTGTTTATGTTTGGCATGAAACCTCTTCCCACCTCTAATCTACATTGTAATGCTCATTCCCATGATCCATCAGGCATGCTGAAACTCAGCCTGCCTGATGCGGGGTGGGCTTGGGCTATGCCCAAAGTTCTAAATACTAGATATCAAAGAATTATTGGACAAAATTCATATCGGATTGTGGATATTAGGGAAACACCAAGGATATGTAGTAAATATTAGAGTGTCATAATGGATGATATACATATATAATATAATGTCTGAAAATGTAACATAAACATACTAAATGAAATCTAAGACTACAAATTTGTAAATAATATATGTTTAGGACCACTAACCAATTGTAGAAACTTACTCAGGGGAAAAACATACTGGGATTTGCTACAAAATTTCATGGAGCTAGAATTTTTGCTAAAAATCATTAAAGGAACTTTGCAGAACTATATTGTTTAGCGATAAGCCATATAAAAGGATATATCACCCTAAAATTGCCAAAAAGCGGTAAAGGATATTGAGACCATATTGTTTTGCGGCAATGTTTGTAAAAAGATACATCAGCCAGATATATCGACTATATCGCGGATATTTGAAACAACAGCTGTACCTGGCATGGTCACAGACCGCCCTTGTCCTCTTGCCACCCATGATGTAGACTGCAATATACTACCAAACTGGTTTCTTTCCATAAATTCCAGAATAAACAAATGATTACTTTTCTTATTGTGATGCAAATATTTTTTAATTGTTTTCCCCTGAATATGTACTTATCCATTCTATCTGAGGATGTTCAAGTGCATCACTCAGATATATGATTATCTCTAAGTTTATCTGCTTCTCTTGAACCGCTACAGAAGTCTGGAATAAGTAATTATTTTGAATTTTCAGTAGACATTTTATTCAAATCTACTCTTTTTTGTAGGGGGAAGGTGATAGGTTGCAGAATGCGGCAAAACCTGGGCCCTCCATCTCCCCTCATTCCCATTCCCCTGCAAATCGGTGACTGTATGTCAATATTTCTACATACCTGCTGGTAACCTGTTATTTGTTCCCTATAGTTCCTCCTATACCAGGTTTCTCTTATTGAATCTTATATTCTTTTCGTCTTGAGAGTAAAGCAGAAAGTGTATATTCTCAATGCGATATGTACTTCATTAGTGGTAAACACAACTTGTAAATTTACATTGCGTAACCTTGTTGAAAAAAACCATGCAATCAAGTGAAACACTAACCTACATGTGAATGATGATTCAATCTTGTTGCTGACGCTATTAAATTTTCTTCTCCTTGTTCTTTCTTACCAATGAGTCAATTTTCAGTAGATTATGTAACAACTTACTAGTAGCACATTCGTGATGCCCTAAAAATGGTTTATGTTCTGCCTTCATCTATGTGCTGAATAAGATTGTTCTACTTATTGGCATTTTTGGTCTTATCTTTCATATTTGTATACTGAGTCTATTTGTACACAGAGTTCGCTATAGGGATGAATGTAATGAGATCTTTCAAGAAATATGTACTGCTTATTCTTGCCAGAGTATGAATTGGACATCACTGCTAGCTTGAGCCACAATATTTACTCCATTCTAAATGTGACCGAGTTAGCAACCTGCGTCATTATATGTTTATGATGTTCTTTAGCACTTTTTTCATTCAGAAGCCATTTGCAATTAACCAACAGTAATGCATCCCTTGACTCTTCCTGGCCTGCTCAGATACTCTACTCGCCCTGTAGAGAAGTACTCTCTCTCCCTTTCTTTTTTCTATCTATCCAACATTCTTTTACTTTTTCGATCTTTATAAGGCTCAATTCTAGTTTTAGCACTATTTAGATAGTATGCATGTACATCATGCAACTTTAGATCCCTACATACAAAAGGTCTGATTATGATAGGGATATTCGACATTGCACTGACCAAGTTTTGGTAAATCTGTGTTGGGTGCTTCAGTGTGGGTAGATTTCGTTTCTTTAAGAACTGATCATTTCAAGTATAAGTTTTGATATTTATAACAACCATTGGTATCTGTTATGTGTCATGCATTCCTCTTATAATTGTCACTACATATAGATATATCTAGATGTTTTATGTATTAAAATAGTATGTATTTATGTGTAGTATTTATGATGAAATGTACAAGTTAAATGTGTGTGTGTGTTTGCGCGCATGCTGGTGGGCATGGCTTGGGAGTTGGTGTGTGCTTGTAGAAGTGTGTCACACGTGCATGTGTGGTGTTGGTGTGGGTGGGTGCATGGGTAAGTTGTGTCATTTGTGTGTTTGTGTTTGTGTTGGTGCGGGCGGGTGTGTGGGTAGTCGTGTCATGTGTGTGTGCATGAGGGCGCCCCCGCACCTATGCCCTGTATATATTTGAAATATACATTGTAATTTCATTTTGAAATATAGCTTGGTCATTGAACTTTGCTTGACCTTTTAACCTCTTCTTCAAACTTTTGGTTATGTTTTAGTAGGTCTCCTTATCTTTTGAGGCAATAAGTTACATAATTTTTCTTGTAGTTTGTGTAAAAGTTCAATAATTCCAAGTTTCAGTTATTGGATATTTGTAGTTAAAGAAATTCTTTTCCTTTACTAGAAAAACTTTTCTGTTTCTTAGTATTTCATTATGCTATAGATGTGTTAGTACCTATATTACCTAGGTACGTCTGCCATGAAGCCGTACTCGTACCTAACAGTTCCTGTGCCCATACCCCACACTTCTTGTACACTCCTTAAATATATGCGTACATTTATTCAGATGTGAACTCAATTATACAAATACATACTTTAATTTAAATACTCATCTTACACTATATGACCTACATTTCACATCCATTTTTGAAACTTGCTAGACAAAGATCAATTTTGTTTCAGCCCATATTCAGTTAAAAACTGCAATTTCAAAGGTCGTAAGCATATCTAGCTTAGAACTACGACTCCAACCCATGTGTTTAGCCGTGCCCCTCTACCTTGCCTTTTACAAATTTGTCCTATCTCATACCCGCACCCATACCTGTATCCGTGCAACCTGTCCTGCTTGACCTGACCATTCATGGCCTGAGCATGGGAATTTAAGGCCAGTGCAGATCTGGTTTCGGGGTGAACCGGATGACGCTTTTGGATCCCGTCAATATATCCTAGACTTGTGTTCAGACAGGTGTTTGTCTTCACCCTAACCCAACTCAATTGTGCCCCTATGTATCAAAATTTTTTCCCACTGAAGTCATACGTTAAATACTGATATTTTTCGGCTTAAAACACCTTGGTCCAACTTAATCCCCATATCCTCGTTCAGAAATTCTAAATTTCCCTACTCAAAACATTTCTACCTAACACTTCCTAGGGAAATACTCATGGAATATTTTGAGGCGTATGATGAACTATAGGTAACTATGAGTACATATGTGCCTTGCCCACCTATTTATGTTTCTTTAATGTGGGACAGCTAAGGATGTTTCATATAATCCATAAATATATTTTCTTTTTGACCATCTTTTCTAGATTGTCATTGCCAAAACTGTAAAGCAAACTATTCAAAAGAGAAAGTGAAAACTCTAAATAGACAGTTCAAGGCAGGAGGTACTACAAGTGACTGAAGGGAGGTGGCAGCATTCTAACCTTTCATGGATGAGTATATTTTTAACTCTATGGTAGTATGGTTAATATACTGACTTCATATGCGTCCAGCGAATTTCATTTGAGCGTCTATTTACGGGAACTCTACATAGAAATTAATACTTTCATCCTTATCAGATAATAATTGGTTTATTGTATTTTTTGTAGGTATCGAACTGACTTAGGCCTTGGGTCACATAATAATGTCAGCAACAGAGTTTATATCCGGAGATAAATATGAGATGGTTTCGTTATGGTTCTTTTCAAAGTAATTCTTTGAATTTCTAGATGCCACTGCCAGAACAAAGATGATAGATTGGAGAAAACATCTTTGCCCAACGTCACTTCAGTTGCTTCATAATTTATGTGATGGTGTACTGCATAATTTTTGTTAGAGCAAAACAACTTATATTAATGATCAAAGTCCATAGCCATTCAGATCTACACGGGGATCATAAAAAATAAGAATTGTAATATATAATATTTACCCGCCAGAAAAGAACTCGAAAAAGTTTGTAAAACATGGACAATGGCTAAAGTGTTGCAGTTTAAATTCTTCTTTTCCTTCGTAAATCCGATAGGATTAAGTTAGAGTTTCTCTTTGTAACAAAGTTTCTTAAAAAAAAAAAATACTAGCATGTAATATTTGGATCTGTTTTTGCCAGTGCGACATTATAGCACGTTATCCCTGCACAACTTGATCTTCCATCATTCATCACTGGTTGGGTAATCTTGATCTGTCTGATACTTTTGGACCATTCCTAAATAAATAGATATATACATACATATTTTTGGACCATTTAGCTGCTTAGATCTTTGTCGATTGAGATATTTGTGGGCTCATGCTATTAGGCGTTGAGCATTGACAATAGATACCCCAGTGTATGATCAATTATGGCACTAGGATTTCATGAAAATAAATTGTTGATTCAATATGTTGTAGAATTAACCCTGTTACACTTTTGGTGTTATATTGGTAGAAGGCTTTTCTCTTCACCATTGAACCAATATTAATTAGAAGTGCTCATATCTGAGCTCTTTCTGCATGCTAAACATATTAGGTATGACGTCTTATTAGCTTTCTTGTTATAATAATTCAGGTTATTGGACAACATTCTCTGCTTAACTAAAACGCAACGTCGAAGGTAACTTTTGAATGTCGTTGAATTATGTGCTAATATTGATCATTACTTCGAAGTTGTTAGGAAGATGAAGGACATCCGCTAACCAGTAAGAAACCATGTAAAAGAAAGACGCTCACAATTGGCAAATTATATTTTAAATTCCTCTTCACCACCGCAATGTAGGCCCATAAATTGCATGCATTAAAGAGTTAGGTCGGTAGTAGGTAATTTCATATGTACATATGTGGGGTTGATTTAGTTTCTTCATGTATAATGTAAGAAAAAAAACTTGCTCACTTCGGATTGACTTCCTCACGCGAAGCAAACGCCTTGGAAAGTGGTGGATACCAAAAAGCTTTCTTAGCGGGGCAGATGACAAATATGCGGGAAAGTTTTTAAAATTATGGTGGACAGGTTGTAAATTAAGAATGCTTTAAAATGTAATTATGCAACTGTCATCATCCAAAGCAGCAAATAGATTCACCCCTGACCTTTAGTTTTGATGAGTAGCAAACAAAATGAGATGTGAGCGTCCCTCACTTATGTTGGATCGAGATGATACAGGGTTGCATTCATGGGCCACATAGGCATGCATGTGAGTCAAGATGACATGGTCAATAATAGTCTTTAGCATCCACTGTAATTTGATATAAGCACAATGTGTGAATCAACATGCATAGATTTCGTGATCAATAATTGGATATTAAATGATGGATCAGGTTGAACTTCACACCTCCCTTTGAATGAGCCAGTATATTGGACTTAGGCTGGCCACTTGAAGGAAAAATACCAAGCGTACCCAGTTACATAACATTAAATGCGCACCCAAATGATATCAACCATTGGTCATTAGATTTTGGGATTCATACCTAGATGTAACGGTTGACATCCTTTGGGTGCACATTTAATACCATAGGTCGTCCTCACCAGGTGAGATACTTTCTCCTAGTTAAAAACCCCAACCAAGTGTTAGTTTTGGTTGGTACAAACATGCATATCTGTATTGTTTATGTGACATGCATTCCTCTCATAATTGCTATAACATTTATGTAGATATATTTATGTGTTATGTATTAAAAATATAATATATTTATCTATGCATAGTACGTAGTATGATGAAATGTGTACAATTGTACAAACTATGCATCCATGTGCCTATGTCCGCATGCTCTGGTGTGGGGTGTGTGTCTGCGTGGTTGCATGCTCATGTAAGTGCGCATTACATGTGCATGTGTGCGTGTCTTTGTGATGGTGTGGGTATGTCAATATGTGTGGCTGTTGTGTGGTTTTGTATGCACACACGCCTGGGCACATCTGCTCGCGCCGTCAGGCGCCTATCAACTCCAAAACCACCGAAAGAAGCAGCAGCCTTTGTTGATATTTTGAAAGAAAACAAAAGAGCGGGCCCCACTGCTACAGTAAAATATTAATATTTTATTGTGCATAGTATTTTTCCAAAAACTATAAATAGGCTCCAAATCCTTAAGAAAAAAATCATTCCAGAAACTTCTTCTTATATAGAAGTGTGTGAGAGAAAAAATAGAGAGAGTATCTCCTTGTAAAGAGAGATTGTAACTCCAGAGTTTTCTCCTCATAGTGAATTCTTCTATCCTTGCCCGTGGACGTAGGCAATCAAGTGTCGATTCATGTAAATCTGTGTGTCCAACATTTTATCTCTACTTTTGCTCTAC